GAGCACCCAGGTAAGGAAAGGACTTGAGCCATCCAGGGACAGCAATACCAGCTAGGCCTTCTGTTGTCTGGAGATTGAGTAAAAACAGAAGAGCATAGGAAAACACTTATTTTTTTAATAGTCTAATTCTCAGCGAAGTCAACTGTGTATTGTCAAGAGGACAATGGCCTTTTGAGCTTTTTGCTGCAAGAGCTTCATTTATAAAGGCCCGAGTCAGAGCCATTTGTCATGAGGAGTAATGACAACCTGACTGTCTGGTCAGGACTCAGACAGCAGTCTGTAGGTGTGTTTTTCATTCCTTTAAATTACAGCCTCTCTCTGAGGCAGTTAATCCCAGGCATTTAACAAGAGTTGCTGCTGTGTGTCTCTCCCTTGTTCCAGAGATGCATTTTCTTGTATTTGGCATTTGTCTCAGATGCCTTATTGTTTGAAGGGTGTTTTTCTCCTTATAAAATCTTTTACAAGAAAATCTTATTTTCTTCCCCCTCTCCTTCCCAAATACCCCTCTGAGAGTTAATCAGAGATGCACAGAATTCAACAACTGGGAAAGCCATTAATAACTCCGCCAGCTTCTGTCCTGCTGGCTTAACGGCAGCTTCTGGCTGATGAAATTGATGAGGATTTCTCTGGTGTTTCCCTGAAAAGCATTTTGGTGACAGAGTCCTCCTGTGAAGGAGGAGCAGTACCAGCATATTTGCATATTCTGCTTCTTACTGGCTGGGTTTGTTTGCTTTTTTTTCCCCAAGTCCCCTTGGGAGAGAGCACAGGCTGTGTTCCATTCAGCCCCGGTACAGAGCACCTTCGCCATTCCTAAGGTGAATGGTCTGTCTGGGTCTGCCTTCCCCCCCTGCTCATCTGGCAGACAGCCTCTGGGCCACGCACATTCAGTCTCAGCCTCACTCACTTGGCCTTCTTCAGCCTGTGCAGCCTCGCCTCACGTTGATCTTACAGACAGCACTGAAGTGAGTGGCAGAGTCTGTGTGGCTTTGTAAATGCAGCATTAGTTTAAGTACTTTTAAGTCCTTAGCCCTTTTCTTGGAACTCTTAGCACTCTCCCTCTCCCCTTCTCCTGTTTCCCATCCCCACTGCAGATATGCTATGCACTGAAATTGGTATCCTCGGCTGAACTGCTTACTTCTGAATCCTCCCTTCTTTCTAGACTACAGAATCTAGGGTCATGAGTTGTTCTTTTCACCTCTAGTTTACTTGGAGCCTTGCCTTTAGTTAGGGATTTTTGTGGTCGGTACTAATTCCCAGAGCCTTTATCCCTCTCCTTGCCTCACTTGTCCCGCAGTCGAACCTTCTGGCCTTTGCTACCTTTCCCATTCCTGTTTTCAGGGTTTTTCCTGGAACAGTGTTGGAGCTGTTTTCTCCTAGATGTTCTTTGTTGTTCTCTCACTGTGTGTTCATCGCATTCCACAGTTTTCTAATAGTTCTGAGGCCTGTGCTCTCATTCCTGTCCTTCTATGCTAGAGTCCTCAATGCTTTTAATTTGAAGTCTTCTCTGTACTTTATTGAGATGCCATTTAGCTCCTACTTCTCCATCATTTGTCAAGATGTTAAGCTGAGGGCCAGCAGATACATCTCCACTCAATGTATAACGTCTCTCATGTTGCCGAATGTGACCATCAGTCTGAGACTTTGTGTCTGAGCCAGCTGATCTCATTTGTATTTTCTTATATATCCCCCAGTAATCTGTGAATACTATAAATCCATTATCTCTGGCCATGTTTTGTGTCCCACCCCCCTTTTTCATATGGAAGGAGAAACTGAATCAGAAAGGAGTTGATTGGGGCGCCTGGATGGCTCAGTCGGTTAAGTGTATGACTCTTGATTTAGGCTCAGGTCATGAATTCAGGGTCATGAGATCAAGCCCCGAGTTGGGGTCTGTGCTGAGCGTAGAGCCTGTTAAAGATTCTCTCTCTTTCTCTCCCCCACCCCACCCCTGCGTGTGCTCTCTCTAAAAAGAAAGAAAGAAAGTTGTTTGTCGGTTTTAATAACAATGAAAAGAGGCTTGTGAATTATGTCGAAGGAGCCCAGTTTTCCCCCCAGCCCTGATGTATTTGTCCATTTTTCTAAATTGTCTCCCTGTGTCTTTTCACCAAGGCTTGTGCCCAAGTCTTTGAGCCCTGGCAACTGCTGATCAGAATGATCTAGTGCACTGGCTTCTCCTTCCCTACTCTTCAGCCCTGCTGACGCCAGATAGAGACCTGTTTGTTGTCCAGGGGGAGAGGAATCTTTGGACCTTGCAGAAGCCAGTTGTCAGCTCCGCAGTGTGATTGATTCTGGGAAGGCAGCTCTCTCGCAGAGCTATGGAGGAAGCACTTGCATTTATCCCATGGTGCTCCTTTCTCTGGCTTAGTTTCTAACCTTTTGAGGCTTAGGGACCCTTTTTAATTTCAAAATGTTTTCTAACTTTTCTCATGATAATTAACTGTACTTTCAGTGCCCATTGATAAGTAAAATATGCTGTTATGAAAAGCTGTCGAATTCATTTGTACTTTTTTTTTTTAAAAGATCTATTTATTTGAGAGAGAGAGAGGGAGGGAGAACATGAGCGAGCCTGGGGAGGGGTGGGGGCAGAGGGAGAGAGAGAATCCGAGAATCTCAAGCAGACTCCCCACTGAGCTGGGAGCCTGACTCCGGACTTAATCTCATGACCTTGAGATTATGACCTGAGCCGAAATCAAGAGTCGGACGCTCAACTGACTGAGCCACACAGGCGCCCCTCATTTGTACTTTAAAGTGAATTGGTACTTTGATCAAAATTTGAAGCTACATATATTTGAAAAATCATAATACACTTAATTTGAGAACTATCTTATTTGTTTGATACTCATTTTTTTTCTGTATGCATGTGGCTACCGAGATCTTATAACAATTTGTGGGCTCCCCAGAGCTGCAGTCTCCTGGTCAGGAACTTCTGATTTCATTGTTTTTTTGTTTTTGTTTTTGTTTTTTTTTATTTATTTGAGAGAGAGAATGAGAGAGAGTGTACATGAGAGCAGGGAGAGTCAGAGGGAGAAGCAGACTCCCTGCTGAGCAGGGAGCCCGATGCGGGACTCGATCCTGGGACTCCAGGATCATGACCTGAGCCGAAGG